AGCATTCTTGATCACTGGCAATACAGAGGGGCTTCTGGGAGTGAAGTCCAAACCATCTGGAGATCTACCTGATTCCCATCCAGCTTTAGGGTACCTGTGAGAGGAAGAGGCCTCATCTCATGATTACCCAATCTCATTTTTTCATCACACCTGGTTTCCACAAAAGCCTGGTGGGAAAGGACAGGTTGGAGTGTGCAAGTAAGGCAACATGGCCTCCATTCTCTGATGCCACTTCGGGCCTGATGCTCATGTTAGTCCACAACCATTGCAGCTACAACGCAGGCGCACAGGAACAGAATCCAGTCTGCTCCTTCTCCCCATGGCTACAGTGCCTTTTGCAGAACGGAGGCAATGCTGAGGAGGGGAGGAGCCCCAAAATGGCTGATCCCACCCGAGTCTGGCAGCCCAAGAAGTACTACTGCGGCAATTCCAATACCACCAGAATAACAAATCTGCCTGCCTACCTGGATTCTTGAAAGGAAGCTGGTGGGAAAGGGCAGACTCAAAGACAGTAGGAAGAAGATGGTCTTCCAGTCAAGAAGGATGATAGGCAGCATACAGAAGATGTGGAAGTTCCAGCATTATCTACTGCACTTAACCTCTTGTCCCTATTTCTGGGAGAATGCCTCATCTGTCATGGATTATTTACTAGCACTTTACAACAATGCCATACACCTATTCTATTTCATAAGGAATGTATCAAAACCAGCAATTCATTTGCTCTCCCTGAAAAATTCAGATTTCAGCTAACACAAAATGGCTGCACACAGGAGTCTAGCCAAACCTAAGCACTGGGGGTGTGAACCTCAAGCTAGATCATAGCCAGTCTTTTAAACTCAGTGCCTAACCTGTATCAGAAATGAACCAAACTGAAATTCTCAGCCATCTGCATCAACCTTCCTGAAGAAGTACAGCAATGTCCAACACACAGAGAGGGCCATGTTGTGTCCGCTTGCCCCTGTAGCTGGTAAAAATGACAAGGTGGCAGTCCAGTTCGGCCCCACTGCCATGATTCACCCTTAACTCAAGGATTCAAACCCAGTCATCTAAGAAATAAGTACTCAAACCTGTGGGATGGATTGACAAATTGGTCAGTTTTGGTGTTTCCCCCATTCATTTTTTTTAATCTCAAGTTTTTCTCCAACACAAATATGAAGAAATTTCCCCATTTTGTTAAATTCATCTTAAAAGCAATCTGAAACAAAATCCTCTCTCATCCCCAATGAACACTGAGATTCTAAGAGGACACGATGAGTACGAGACTGTTGCTCCTGATAAAACATGCAACCCCTTTTCAGTGATACTTAGAGGATGTAATCTGCAGAACAGGGCAGAACAGTCCATCCATTCAGAGATAATGCAGAAAGTATTGTCCTTATTCTGATTGTGGTTTGGGGTGAAGGATTATCGACATCATGTCGTTGTCGTCATCATCATCATCATCTCTGCATATCACCCCAAAGCCAAAGCTCTGAGCAGTTTACACAGGTTTAAAACCTTTAAAATGCAATATAAAACATACTATTAAGAAAACAAAATAGGACCACCCCACACCTTCATATTTGCTGTCAAATGTGTCAGAACTGAGGAAAATCTTAACTTGGCACTGAAAGAATGATAATTTTGATGCCAGGAGGACTTCAGTAAGAAGAAGGCTCCACAACAGACTGGTCATGACACAGAAGGACCCCTCCTTTGTTGCTACCCCCCAATATCCCTTGCAAGGATGTACTGGAAGTAAGATCGCAAATGATGAACATGGTAGTTAGGCTTTTATCAGAAGAGGTGTTCCATCAGGAATTTTAGTCCAAAGGAATTGCAGTCACTGCAATCAATCTGGCTGCCTGATTTTGCAGAAACTGAAGCTTCTGAACCACCATCCAGGGCAGCCCTGTGGAGAGTACATTTGTAATCTAACTGCAGTAAAGCAGTTATCTTTTCATCAGCTACGTGCTTTCTCTTTGGCTGGAACACTGAGCCAGTAAGAAGAATCCTGTACTAAAAATATGGCACAACTGAAGCCCCTGCCAAAGGGGCACCAAATAAGAGTAAAATAAAGGGGGGGGGAATGGTTGCTTATTGGGGTGGGGGCATCTTGTGGAGAACATTTTAAACCTTGAGAAAGGCTTTCTTTTCTACCAAAAGTGTTCAGCTATGGAAATATCAAGATATAATGGCTGCAAATGGCAAGATACAGTGGCTGCAAAGGTCACATTCATCCCAACATAGGGTCATTTTTCCATTAGTGTGTCATACAAAATAATGTTTGATCACCAAACAAGAGCGTCCTGATGTCACTTGGCTTCCTTGGCCTCACCTAGCCTAAGAAGGCCTTCAGGCTAGGGAAGAGAGACAGGTCACTGGTCCTTTTTCTGTGGGGACTCTTTGTGCTATTCCTTGGTGGGGTGAACTTCAGAACCAGTGCTGAGATTAGGCATGGCTGGGAAGGATGCACACCCCAGCAGGGCCCCACTGACATGAGTCCCAGGGCATGCTCCCACTCCTCACCATCACAACTTCCTTGCTCACCCACCTCTCACTCTGGTCTTGACAACAGTGGTGTGCAAGGGAGTCATGAGAGACGCCACTGTCTCCTTGCTCACCAGCCGATGGTCGAGCATGCAAGTGGTACCAATTATGAGAGGAGAAGGATGGGCGATAGCATTCGAAGACAATGGCAATAAGAAGGTGGATTCACTGAGCGACGTATGCGAAGGAGGGTGTCTTGCCCAAAGACCCCGAAAAACCTAAAGCCCCATCACTTAACTTGTTGACCTACAAAAATCATACAGGGGAGAGCAGTTCACTAAAAAGCGGGCAGTAATGTATAGGTGCTACATAAGCTGTGCTCCTTCGAATATTTCACTGCTTCACAGGGATATTCTGATGGTTGCCATAATTTTGTACCTTGCTTTACATTTACGTAAACCGGGAGAGGGAGACTATCACCATTTTAGTCTATTGTGAAGTCTCCCCTTCATAGTTTAGCCACGACGTTAGTTTCTTTTACACGGGACCCTCTTGACTTGTTACCTATGGTTTTAAATGGCCTCCATAAAAATAAATAAGCATTACACATATAAAATTAAGTGTCTATTGATTATTTAATCCAAGGCAAGCTTTAATGTGACAAAATTTATATCCTGCTGTGGGCTCAGATAACTTTTGCAGATTGCTAATTGTGATGGAATGTGACTTTGCTACTGGTTCAGACTGGCTCAGAGGCTCCTTGACAGGTAAGCAAGCTATAAAATTGGCCCAAATTGGAAGAGCTGTAATCCCAGCAGACACAGAACATCAGCTGAACTGGAAGAAAGAAACTCATTCAGTTTTTTGGTTTACAAGTCACCTCTGCTTTAGAAAGTGCAGCATAGCCTTTATTTGTCATCACAAAACCCATGTGAGGAGAAAATTACTATTATTTATGTATAGATGGGAAGCTCAAGCTGAGAAACAGAAGCATTTGTCTATGAATATTAAATGAATATTTAACTACAGTGGCATTTGAACCCAACCTCCTTTTATACACTAGCACAAAAGCAGTCAACTTTTCTGAGGTGGGGTGTGGACTATGGCCATATGAACAATTTGAGAAACAGCTGTACACACCACCACAAAATGGTTGCCATTCATGGTGTGGTGAGTCACAAAAGACAAGGCGAGGCTCAGCTTATGATCTATGAGTAAAGAACGCACAAGGAAAGATTGCTACACAGTGGAGGCTGAAGAGAGATCAGAGATGCAGAAAACACGACTTCTGTTTTAAAAGGAGGTCTTTGAGTGTTCATTTTGTATTTTCATATAACTAGGTTTGCATGTAATTCTGCAAAACAGCACTGAGCTTGATCTGCAAGCCTGCAGAATCCGTGCCTCTCAGAAGATGCTGCACTGGCCAGGCTCACAGGGAAGCAGCAGCAACACATTTTATTCCCAGGTTGTTGGTGTCTTCCGCTGCTCCCTCCCCTCTGAGCTTCACATCTCGCCTCACAGAAGCTGGAGAGCAACAAGATGAAGGAAGCCTTTCTTTGAATTTCTGTTTGAGAAATCCTCCAAAAATTTCTGAGAGGTGGGTTTCCCCATTAGTGTCAGTAGCATTTGGAGAGTCTTTCTTTTCTCCCCTCGAGACCCCTGTTGCCCCTAAGCATCAGCCTGCCCCCCCCTTGCTTCTTCCAGAATGACCCAGGCCCCCAGTCATTCCAGGTCCCTGAGGAACAGCAGGCTGGCACCAAAAATGGTGGCAACTAATACTCCACAAGGTGGCCTTCTTTTTTCTTTCGGGATAAGAAAGTGAAGAACCAGCTTGGCTTGGGGTGCATGTACAGCTGCATCCCATTACCAGACACATGAATATGTGCATCTTCCCTAGCACTTTAGCCGTTTGCTGATGTTCCTTCAACTTTGCTCTGTTTATGGCAATTAAACTAGCAAAGAATTTGAAGCCTGCTTCAGTTCTAAGGAAACGCTGAGTTGATGAATTCTGAGGATTTGTCTGGCTGTGTAATGCTGGGAGTCCAAGGACCGTTTTCTGGCCCAAACTTGCAGGGGATTACATGCTTAAGGAAACCGCATTTTAGTTTTCATTCTTTGCACTGACATCTGAAAGTTATTTCAGATGCATTTTTAGAATTGGATGGAATAGCGCTTATTTTGTTCATTTACTCATGAAAATATGTGAAAGAATGAACTTGTTACACAGTCTGAAAAAAACAAAAAGGTTGACAGGATCACCCTATAGACCACGTTGCCCGGTGGATGTGCCAGATGGTTGCCTCTTCTTGGAGCAATGGTCTCTACTGAATGAACACAGACTTTGAAGCTCTGCAAGGCTCTACGTCAGGTAGTTGTGTGCAAGGATACAAGCCTGCTATAAAGGAGCATACAAGCCAAGCACATTACACCCACAACAACCAAACAGAGCCATTTTTTAACTTTATAGCCTATCATTTTCCCTCTTCCCTCCCTTGTTACTCTTCTTTGTGGCTTGGCTGTGAAGCACTCACCTTCTCTTTTTCTGTTGCGTAAACATTTCACCTTGGGTAGCTTGATCAGCATACGGCAATCATCCGCTTTGAAAACACAAACAGAGATCCCAGGTTATTTCATTCCTTTCAGAGGCCTCAGGACAGCCACGTGGCAAGAGGGAGGACAGAAGGGACACATTACGGAGCTTGACAATGTGCACTTAACTCCCAGTGACACAACTGAAAAGGAGAAAGTGCCCATCAGGAAGTCAAGGAAGACCAGTGGTAACAACACAGGAGAACCTTGGCCCCTTCTATGCAAGCTCGACTTTTCAGCCCCGGGAAAGGTCACCACCGCACAGACACCAGCACACATGTTCTCCCCCATGCCCCCCATTTTCAGTCTCAAGTGAATCACTTACGATCATCACTGAAGTCGTCTACTAATATGATTTCATGCACCAGCCGTACAGGGGTTCGGTTCAGGACACTGGGGAATCACAAAAAGAGAACAAATGACCGCATTTCAGCAGAAAAATAAAACCCAGAAAATCGTGAGATGATGTTTTCCCTAGAGAAGTGACTGTTGGGGGCAATAACATACATACATACATACATATATATATATATATAACATAGCCCACATCAGCACTTAAGTGCAAGAACAAGAACTGCAATCCTACTTTACTGTATGAGGAAAAAAATAATCTCCACTGGAAAGTATCAGAAGCTGTTAGAGAGTAAGAAAAGTAAGAAGAGCCCTTCTGGATCAGACTAAGATCCACCTAGTCCAACACTGTGTCCAGATAGTGTCTAACCAGCTGCTTACAGGTAGCCTGCAAGCAAGACTTGAGTTCCACAGCACCCACGTACCCAAGTTCCCCAGCAAGTGGTATACACAGGCATGCTACTTCTGATCTGGAGATAGCATGCAAGCACCAGGACTACTAGCCATTGATAGCCTTCTCTCCATGAATTGAACCAATCCTTCTCTCCAGTCTCCAAACTGGTGGCTGAATCTTGGTTAAGTGAATTCCATAGTGTGACTTCCATAGTTATATGGAAATGTTATAATAATAATAATAATAATAATAATAATAATAATAATAATAGTGCAATTGAAGCAATACTTCCTTTCATCTGTCCTGACTCTCTCACTCTGACAGTATAGCATGGCAGTGGGCAGCCTGGTACCTTCCAGATATTTTGGACTACATCTCCCACAGTCCATTACCATTGGTCATGCTGGCTGGGGCTTATGGAATTTGCAATTCAAAACATTGGGGTAGCACCAGGTTATTTCTCCTGGTATAGCAGAGCAGACTTGTTGCTGACTATACCACTATAGCTTGGACTTTCAAATGAATACTATGTCAGGTTTGCCCCATTGTGCTCCCTGGGCATAGAATTTCCCCTCTACAATATGCAGAATATGCAGTAGCACCTTCTTGCTTGCTTCAACAAAGCAAGCTACTTAAATCCCCCTTTCCCATGTGATAATTAAGCAATCGGCTTACTTTTTGTCCCCTGATACAAGCAAATTTTATGTTGCCCGTCAAATCATTTCTCCACATTATTCCAGGGGAAGGCAACCTTTTGGAATGAGCCACCTGAGACACTGTCCTGGGCGCCACCACAACATGGCTGTTACAGGAGGCACCACGATGGACAAAAACCTGCCTGAAAGACTGAGTACAAAACAAAAGAGGGGCTGAGCTCCAGCAAACAAAACAACTGATCTGAACCCACAGTTTCCAGCATCCACTGAAAACTATTTCACAGCAAACCCAGTTGCTGGTGAAACGTGTCAATGGGAAGGGTCACCACAGGGACCCTGTTCATACCCCTGCAGTATTATTCTGGTCTCTCTGTTCTCTCTTTCTGAGATTTTCTGCATTCTCTGTTCTGGAGACCCAGCATCTGGGAGGACAGAATTCTGTGTATTCCTGCTTATGCTACTCTATACAACCTCTTGTACACTGAGGGTGCTGTAATAGCTTAAAAAATCAATAATAATTCAGCTCGAGTGGTCGAGCTATCAATCCCACGGCTTCTTAGTCTGAAGCTCCCTCATAAACCAGGAGGAATCTCCTGGTCCTGAAGCCACAAAGAGGGCACCTTGGACTAATGTGCAATAAAATCAGCAAAAAGGATGAAAAGATAAAAGCAAATATGGCAAAGTTCTATGAATAGTTTCCAAGGAACGCAATGCAATATAGAGTACAAATAAAACAATGATAATGTCACATAGACATTATATTTATATTCCTGCGGCTGTCAACATCAAAAGATAGAAGTAGTATCTGAAAGAACTTCTAAGAAAATATTGTCATTTAAAAGCTTGACCTTCATAACTAGTGGTAATGTCAGCTTTAAGAAGAAGCCATTTTCATGAGGAGCAAGGTTTTTTTGGACATCTTTAATTACAGGTTGCTGCAACCATTATCGATGTAAACACTTGCATTGCATGATAATTTAAAGCTGGTTTGTTTTAAGCCAATGGAATGTCCAAACTTTTTAAATAAATCTTTTACTATGCCTGTTATTTGAAAATAACCATTTCCCTTTTTTAACAACACAGGCAAATAATACATTGTCTGGGGGAAAAAAATCTTCATTTGATTAGCAAAATATGTGGATTATGAAGATTGCCCACAATTCTGAACAGAAGGGAACCAACAAAAAGCAGGCTTTTAAAAATCCCATTGTAACTGGCATTGACTAAACATATTGATTAATACTGGTTGATAAATCAATTCTTTCAAGCAAATTTAATTACCTGAACTTATGCATTTCTTCTCTTGCCTTTTCTTCGCACTGTAGTAGCCTACAAACTAGATTAAGATGTTATCTAAGAATGAACCCAGAGCGGTTATCTTCAGACAACATGCCCTTTACAGAGGAGCATGGTGAACACACGTGCATGGAGCACAACTTGGCCAATCAAGGTACAGTTGACTGGTCCATATGCATCCAAGCTGGTTGAGAACAAACACATTTTGATGCCATACAGTAATTAAACTGTATGGATAGTACAAATGGTGTACAACTGGCTAGTGAGAGACACCCTCTAGGCAACCTTCTTGACTAATTCCTGTAGCAATAAAGACTTTCCTATCCCGAGGCGCTTTTTCAATGGACTAGAATTGAGACAAATAGGCAAATGAATGGAAAAAGTTGTTGTTTGCTCTCCTACCCCACAGCAATGTTAAGCTTAGTAGATGTGCTGTATTTTCGAGTCTTTAATTGTGGTTTTATTAAATGATAGAATTCTCTCGTTTTGCAATAACTTGTAATTGTCCATGATTTGGGGTCTAGCAGGCAAAAGCAAAAACCAGTGGCAGGAGTGGTTGTTGGCCACTGCATCATGAATCTGCTTATAGCCTATCTTCCCCATGTGATGGGAGAACCCACATGGAGAACAAAGACAGCTGTCTCCCACTGGTCAATGGGCCATAAGCAATTGACAGCATGCCGCATGCTACCCACTACAGAGAAGAATACTGGCCCTGGGGATATGTTCGCTTGATTAATTTTGATTCTGCCCTCCGCCCTGAATATTCTATGATTTACAAGGCAGGATAACCATATTACATCGTCAAGATCAACAAGAAGTGAAATGGAAAACTCTAACCCTGACCTTGGCCTTCTACGTCACTAAAATGACACCAGCTTTGCTTTTGTTCCAAGCTGGCATACACAGATCTAAGGAAAGTAGCCCTTAATACAAAGTCATGGTGCAACAATCTCTGGGTGGCACAAGCATAAATATGTGAAAAAGTCACTGATTCACGTGCAGAACAGCATCTCAGCGCAGCATTTTGAATCCACATATAGATGAAATTAAAAGACGCTTGCTCCTTGGGAGGAAAGCTATGCCAAATCTAGACAGCATACTAAAAAGCAGAGACATCACCCTGCTGACAAAAGTGCGTATAGTCAAGGCTATGGTTTGCCCAGTTGCAATGTATGGCTGTGAATGGTGGACCATATGGAAGACTGAACACTGAAGAATTGATGCTTTTAAATGGTGGTGTTGGAGAAGACTCCTGAGAGTCCCTTGGACTGCAAAGAAATCAACGCAGTCAATCCTAAAGGAAATCAACTCTGACTGTTCTTTAAAAGGACAGATACTGAAGCTGAAGCTCAAATATTTTGGTCACCTAATTAGAAGGAAGGATTCACTGGAAAAGACCCTGATGCTGGGAACAGTTGAAGGCAAAAGGAGAAGGGGATGGCAGAGGCTGAAGTGGCTGAATGGAGTCACTGGTGTGGTGTGTGAGTGGTTGGGTGGACTCGAGGGGATACTGGAGGAGAGGACAGCCTGGTGTGCTGTGGTCCATCGGGTCACAGAGAATCGGACATGACTGTGGGACTGAACACAATACACTAGACTGCCAACAGCTAAATGTACCACGGTCCCATAACAGAAAGTACCCTCGACCTTACAGTTATATTGGTTCACAGAAGTACGTCTCATTCTGTTTAATGGGCCTTACTCTGCCACTGAAGGTGAATCCATCCATGCACACATACCTTGGGAGTAAGCTCCACTGAACACACTAGGGCTGACTTCTGAGGAAACATGCACATGACTGTTCTGTAATGGTTTACACACCTCACAAAGATGCAAACCCTGAACATGACAGACACAATGGGCAGTCGAAGTCTCATGCATTTCCATGCTCGCAATGCAATTCCTGGCCTTCCTCTCAAAAAGTTAAATGACAGCATGTGGAATTTCAAAAATTTGCACAAAAAGTGTGCACTTTTGAAAATGCACTTTATTCAATTGGAGAAGAATACATATGTTTCAAAGAGATGCACCAGCGATGTGACTTGCAAAAATATGCACAGAGGTACGGAGCCATGTTAACATGAAAAGAAAACAACAAAATGTGGAATCTGATGTAAACAAGAGACATAATGAGCTTTGAGTCCTAAGAGAGAAAGAGGATGGGGTGCCATTTGGAGATGGCATAAGCTGTTGGTTTCTGCTTCCTCCCCTTTCTGCCCCACAGTGTTCCCCCTTTCTTCTTCTCCAAGGCTGATTCCTGACCTTGGACAGGCAGCGGGTGCAGTTCTTTCTGTGCCAGCTGCAAAGGGGCAAGAAGGGGCAGGGCCAGTGTTCCAAGTCCCAGTTTTCAGGTTAAAGGACCCTGGAGCCAGGCCACTGACTAATACATGTCAGACAGTTTGGGGCAGTAATAACATTGTGCCCAAAGTGACCTATTAAAGAGAGGCAGTAGCAAGGGAATGCTCCCCGCTTCCTTCACACAAGACTCACATTTGTTTTTCTCTTTCTTTCTTATGCACAGAATGAGATTTAGATGTGCTGTTCCCACTTGTCAGGTTCTCTTTTAATTATTATTATTAATAGGTTTGTTGGTTCTGAGGGCTTTTTAGGAAGAAAAATGAAAAAGAAAGGAATCCAAGTATGGGAGCTGAGTTCAGCAAATTACTGCAATGGAGTATGTCAGAATAGGGAGA